CTCTCTCTCTCTCTCTCTCTCTCTCTACCATTCCTACCAGTGATGTCTGTCTTAGTCGTCACACAAACACATCCAAACATACAGTAGTTATTATCGTAATAAGTGGTGACAACTGTTTGCTAATCGAGACTATAATTCATTGCCAACAAAATTACCACAAATGTAATGAAAAATTCATTTCAGTTTCAGAGATCTCAACGAAACGCTTAAAGAAAATATTAATTCAAACACAAAATCTTCACAAAGTTTTGTAAACACTTTCATCGAAAGTGTAAAAACTTTTAGACAACTGGCGATTGTCTTAAATATTATGGTAAAAATACAGTTTCAAACAAAATAAGTTTTGTATAAGTTTTATATAAACTAATTGATGAGTATTTTTAATTAATTTTTAGTATAAGAGTCAACAAATTCAATGAAGATAATGAACGCGAACAACACGTTGACTGGGTTTCGGTCAAAGGGTGAGCGCCGGTACGACTGCCAAAAGCAGCGACAGGTGGCCAACGCTCGGGAGAGGGACCGCACGGAGTCCGTCAACTCGGCGTTTATTACATTGCGTTCACTCATACCGACGGATCCGCCCGACAGGAAACTGTCCAAAATTGAAACATTACGACTCGCCGTCTCGTATATACAGCATTTGAATAACGTTAGAAACGCTATGTAAGTGATCGTCAAGTAATTATAGCGTGAATTCTTTATGATATTTATGATAATTACCATGAATTTCAGTTTTAATGGCGAAGAATCGGCCGATATATGCGTGAAGAACTCCAGGATCGGCTCATTTACTGCCAAAACTATTTGCACTTTTTGTATAACAGATAAAAAACAAAATGTAAGTCAAAGTTTGCATTATTTTTAATTTTATTTTCTCTCTCCTATTATCAGTTTTGTAGTAAATTTTACATTTTGTTTATTTGTTTTTTGAATACAAAAAAAATTTTCTTCACTAATTATATGCGAAACCACTGAACAGTCGTTTCAGGAATTACTGTACGAAACGCCGGATACTTATGAAGACTTTACACTATTGAACGTATCGTTGGATAAAACTAATGAAATCTGTGGACAACTTTTCCCACAACTCAATGAATTCAATGATTTAAATAATGGAGAAAACACTTCATTTAGTTATTGTCTGAGTGTCTCGTCCTCTACTCCCAGTGATCTCGAAATCATTTAAATAGTCATTTATTTATTTTTAATTTTTAATGTTTAACTCATTTATAATATTTTATATATTTCAAGAATAACTTATGATTATTTATGGAGTTATTTATCTAGTTTGAAAGCATTGGAACGCATCCAGTCATTTATATTTGTAGTTTTATTGTAATTATATATTTTATAAATTTATAGTCAATATAATGTGTTTTAATAATTTTATACTCAAAACCTTGTAAACAAATTTATTTAAATTTATTTTATTGTGCCGTAAATTATATGTTTGATTAGCTTTTGTGGCAGAGTTTGTGTAATCAAACACTCAATTGATTTGATGTAACCCTTGATATTTTAAATAATATCAAAAAACTATTTCATTAATAAATAGCATATAATGTATGGTAAAAAGTGAGCGTATTTTTAAATTTAATTGCCATTTGAAATACATATTTACGAAACAGACGTTTCGTTGTCTGCAATTATTGTTATAATTATTATATTTATATATAGTTAACATGTTTTTATAAACTATTAATAAAATGTGAATTTAATAATTCATTCACTCATTGTATTTGAATATGAAATTTATTGATTAGATTAAGTGTTAATGAAACGCAAGGAAATGAAATTATGGCTAAACAATGTATTGACACTAAATAAGGATTTATTTGAATATTTAATAATAATAAATATACGATATATAAGGGAAAGAGAGATACCGGTGCCCACTCTGGAGTGGCTTCAGCGTACTCAAAACCTTGTAAACAAATTTATTTAAATTTATTTTATTGTGCCGTAAATTATATGTTTGATTAGCTTTTGTGGCAGAGTTTGTGTAATCAAACACTCAATTGATTTGATGTAACCCTTGATATTTTAAATAATATCAAAAAAACTATTTCATTAATAAATAGCATATAATGTATGGTAAAAAGTGAGCGTATTTTTAATTGCCATTTGAAATACATATTTACGAAACAGACGTTTCGTTGTCTGCAATTGTTGTTATAATTATTATATCTATATATAGTTAACATGTTTTAATAAACTAATAATAATTCATTGTTAAATTCACTCATTGTATTTGAATATGAAATTTATTGATTAGATTGAGTGCTAATGAAACGCAAGAAAATGAAATTATGGCTAAACAATGTATTGACACTAAATAAGGATTTATTTGAATATTTAATAATAATAAATATACGATATATAAGGGAAAGAGAGATACCGGTGCCCACTCTGGAGTGGCTTCAGCG